CACACACACACACACACACACACAGCACACACACTATATATATGTGTGTGTATATATACATATTCTTTTCGGATTACTGACTAATAATCAAGGAACGACCACACCGCCACCTTCCAAGCACCGCGTCCCTTTAACCAACCGTCGTGCAACGTTTCCCGCCCTTGCCTCCCCAGGGCAGCGAGCGGAGTGTCGAGCGAGTCCTGCAGCAGCGGCGCCGTGCCCTCAGCGCCCCCGTCAAGGTGAAGAAGGCTGAGGGCGCCATCAGAGCCTCCGAGTACAAGCTCCACGACCTCGTCAAGAGGCTGAACTTCCTCCAACACTCTCGGAAGCAGGTGAGCAGGGAGGAGAGGAGCAGCAGGGAGGAGTGTGAGCAGGGAGGAGAAGGGAGCGGGTGAGCAGGGAGGAGAAGGGAGCGGGTGAGCAGGGAGCAGGGAAGCCAGGGCGGGTGAGAAACAGGGGTTGTGTATATTATCCTCATTATTACTTTTTTTTTTAGCGTTGATTAGTTAATTAATTAGTTGGTCAGCAGATCTTTATGATTTTTTTTTACCGTAGGTGTCTTTTCCCAATCTAGATGCTGCTAAATGATCCGCATGTAGGATCTTTTTAAATAAATACACTTATGATAGTTACCCCTATTGTCAGGGCAATAGGAGTAACTATTATAATTATAATTACCTTTATTACGTCAGCCAAGGAGGTTATGTTTAGGGACGCCACCAGTGTACTCGAGAAAGAGGTTCTTTTAATGCAGTTCTTCAATTGTGAACATTTTTATTGCATCAGTGATCCTATTGCCTTGGCGGAGGTATGCGCCCCCTGAGTGCTTCTAGTGTTCATATATTCAGATTCACGCTATTTCCAATTTTTTACCACATTTATTATTTTTCATGTCGTGATTCGTATAATTTTTAGTCTCTGTCACCATGAGTAGTTTTCATGTTCGGATCCGTGTAATTCCTAGTCACTATCATCATTATATTTTTTTATGATCAGATCCGCGGAATTTCTAAACTTATCATCATTATTTTTCATGTTTTGATCCGTGCATTTTCTGTTCTTTATCACCATCATAATTTTTCTTGTTAAAAAATGATCCATACAAGTACTTATCATTGTCATCATTTTTATTTCCATGTTTTTGATCTTCATCACCACTATTATTGTCCATATCTTACCCTTACAATTTCTATTCATCATTACCATTATCTTTCTATATAATTTCGATATCACCTTTATTTTTTTTTAATAATTTCTACTCATCATCATTATTTTTTTATATAATTTCTATTCATCATCACCATTATTTCTTTTATATAATTTCTACTCACCACCATTATTTTTATATAATTTCTACTCATTATCACCATTATTTTTCATGTAATTGTTACTCATTATCACCATTATTTTCATGTAATTTGTACTCATTATCACCATTATTTTTCATGTAATTTGTACTCATTATCACCATTTTTTCATGTAATTTACTCATTATCTTATTTTTTCGTGTAATTTCTACTCATTATCACCATTATTTTTCATGTAATTTCTACTCATCACCATTATTTTTCATGTAATTTCTACTCATCATCACCATTATTTTTTACACAATTCTACTCATCATCACCATTATTTTTTTATAATCAAAGGGGGGGGAGAGGGCAAGCAATTTCCAATCACTATCATATTCATCATTTTTCAAATATGTCCTATCATATTTATCAATTTTCGTATATCACCCTCCTAATTCATGATTTTTCAAATATATCACCCTTATATTTCATCATTTTTCACACATATCCCCCTCATGATTGATAATTTTTCAAACATATCCCCCCAATAATTAATCAGTTTTCAAATATATCACCCTCATATTTCATCATTTTTCAAATATATCACCCTCATAATTAATCATTTTTCAAATATATCCCCTCATAACTTTTTTTTCAAATACATCCCCCCTCATAATTAATCATTTTTCAAATGTATCCCCTCATAACTTTTTTTTCAAATACATCCCCCTCATAATTAATCATTTTTCAAATACATCCCCCTCATAATTAATCATTTTTCAAATACATCCCCCTCATAATTAATCATTTTTCAAATACATCCCCCTCATAATTCATAATTTTTCAAATACATCCCCCTCATATTTTTTTTCAAATATACCCCCCTCATAATTAATCATTTTTCAAATACACCCCCTCATAATTAATCATCAAATACATCCCCCTCATAATTAATCCTTTTTCAAATACATCCTCCTCATGATTAATCATTTTTTCAAATACATCCCCCTCATAATTAATCCTTTTCTTAAATACATCCCCCTCATAATTCATAATTTTTCAAATACATCCCCCTCATGATTTCTCAACATTCTCTCCCTTTCAGCGTGAAAATAGGCTGAGCACACTGAAGCAACAGCTGGGGGAATCGTCCTCAGACAGAGTGCAGGAGGAACACCGCACAATTCAGCAATTACAACAGGTGATTA